TATCTTTTGATGAGCTTGTTTTTAATTATAAAGGCTAACATCAAATGTTTGCTTTTATGCTTTTTTGCTTTCAATGTCCTATATAAGAAGTTTTTGCCTTCTTCCAGGTCATGAAAATAGTCTCCTATATTTTCTTATATATATAAAAAATTTTTTATAAAAATACAATATAAAAAAAGCTTCATAGTTTTAGCTCTTGTGTGCAAATTTATGATCCTTCCCAGATTAATTTGTGTGATGTGACATAGAGATTGGGATTCTTTTTTTCTCCAAATGAATACCAAATTACTCCAATACTGTTTCACTGATTAGGATTCTGGTGATGAAAACAAATTTTCTTGTCTTATTCCTGATCTTAGGAGAAATATTTTGCCATAAATATGATACTAGAGAAGGAGAAGGGGGCTGGGGTGTGGAGGGAGGATGCACGAGTGCTTGAATTCTGGAGGCTTCCTTAGAAAAGTGAAGAAGCTTCTTTCCTCATAGTTCTTGGTAACTTATTTTTCATTGGTCTGAATTCTGAACTATCGACTATCACTAGTGGCTTTGGATGAGATTACACCTGAGCCACATGCCCCTTGAATCAGGGATGGAGTCAGCACATGGGCTGACATGCATCAGGACAGCACAGGGGTCCATGCAGAAGTATGGACACCTGAATGAAAATTAAGAATTATAAATAAGTGTTCAGGAAAAGGAAAAAGAATAAGAGAGGAAGGGGATCCTATAGAATAAAAGAGGCTTTTGAATCATATAAACAAAATATGATATATGAGCAGTATTTGGATGCTGATTCAAATAAGCCAAGTGTTAACAATTTCTAATACACACACACACACACACACACACACACAGAGAGAGAGAGAGAGAGAGAGAGAATATTACTCAGCCAGAAAAATGAACGAAGTCTTGCCATTCATGACAACATGGACCTAGAGAGTTTTATACTAAACGAAGTAAGTCAGAGAAAGGCAAATACCATATGATTTCATTTATATATGAAATCTAAAAAAATCAAAAAAACAATACAAATGAACAAACAAGTAAAACCAGAGCACACTCATAAATACAAAGAACTAACTGCTAGTTTCCAGAATGGAGGGGAGGGTGTGGGGTGGATAAAATAGGAGAAAGAGATTAAGAATTACAAATTTCCATGCTCGCTTCGGCAGCACATATACTAAAATTGGAACAATACAGAGAAGATTAGCATGGCCCCTGTGCAAAGATGACAGGCAAATTCATGAAGTGTTCCATATTTTAAAAAAATGATTACAGAGAGGGAGGGAAGCAAACCATAAGAGACTCTTAAATACAGAGAATAAACTGAGGATTGATGGGGGGTGGGGGAGAGGGGAAAGTGAGTGATGGGTATTGAGGAGGGCACTTTTTGGAATGAGCACTGAGTGTTGTATGGAAACCAATTTGACAATAAATTATATTTTAAAAGATTTATGCATTTCCAGTTATAAAATAAATCACAGGGATGAAAAGTAAGGCATAGGGAATATAGTCAATAATATTGTAATAAAGTTTTATAGTGACAGATAGTAACTGTACTTATCAGTGGCAAGCATTGAGTAATGTATAGAATTGTCAGATCACTATGTTGTGCAGGTGAAACTAATGTAACATTGTATGTCAACTAAACTTCAGTTAAAAAGGTATGTCTAAGACAATTGAGAAAATTTGAACATTGGATATTTGACAGTATCAATGTATTTTTACAAATATTTTGTAGATAATAAGTAGTATAATTATGTTTTGGAGTCCTTATCTTTTAAAGATACATGAGAAGTGTTTACAGATAAAATGCTAGAATGTCTGAAATGTACATTAAAGTAATCCAGTGTGACCTCGTGCTGTCCAACGGCTGATCCAGTGTGCCCCTCCCGCCCAGCCGTGAGACTCATCCTGTCTCTCCCAGTTTTGGGGGTGGTTCTGTCTTTGGTTTTGGAAGGCCTAGCCCTGGCCCAGGCAGCCCCACAACTCCAGCACTTTGGAGCTCATCCTGGATAAGCTGAAGGAGTTTGGTAAAGCCCTGAGGGACAAGGCCCTGGGCAGCCATTGAGAGCATCAAACAGATTGACATTCCTGCAAAGACCCAGACTGGTTTTCCAAGACTTTCAACAAAGTGAAGGAGACGCTCATAATTACTTTCTCCAGTATACATGATAGCCGCCTGCCTCTCTCCTCTGTGGCTGTACCCTAGGACGGTGCTCCAAAATTTCCCATACTACACTCTCCCCTACTCCTGTGCCCAGGACTTCATGATACTCATGTCCACCCTGACCCACCAACAAAAATCCCATAAAGGGGGAAAAAAAGTAATCCAGAGTAAGGATAGGAGAGTAAATGAGAATATTGACAAAACAAGATTGGTTGGATGATGAGTATATTAGGTTTTATTTTGCTATTTTCCTTACTTTTATGTAAAATTATATTCCTTAATAAAAATTTAAAAATCCTCTACTTTGGGAAAAAATGTTAAATAAGATTGTCAAAAAAGAATAGGGAGACAGAATGCTTTGGCGGCAACCACAGTGCCTACTCTATTAATACTTAAAAATTTTTTTTAATGTTTATTTCTGAGAGAGAGAGAGAGAGAGAGAGAGAGAGAGAGAGAGAGAGAATGAGTAGGGGAGGGAAAGAAAGAAAGGGAGACACAGAATCCGAAGCAGGATCCAGGCTCTGAGCTGTTAGCACAGAGCCCAATGTGGGGTTCGAACTCATGAACTGCGAGATTGTGACCTGAGCTGAAGTCGGACACTCAACTGGCTGAGCCACCCAGGTGCCCCTAATACTTTTTGTATATATCATTGTTTTTTATTGTTTAAAAATATTCACTTGTTTATTTTCACAGTTTTGAATAAGAAATGAAGTCATAGGTGCACCTGGGTGTTGGTTAAGCATCTGACTCTTCGTTTTGGCTCAGGTCATGATCTAATTTGTAAGTTTGAGCCCTGCATGGGTCTTGGTGGGAACAATGTGGAATCTGTTTGGGATTCTCTCTCTCCATCTTTCTCTGCACCTCCCCTGTTTTCTCTGTCTCTCAAAGTAAAGAAATAAACATTTTTTAAAAATGAGATTTTTATTCATGTTATAAGAGTTGTCATGGGACACCTGAGTGGCTCAGTCAGTTAAGCATCTGTCTCTTGATTTCAGCTCAGGCCATGATCTCATAGTTGTGAGATGGATCCCCAAGTCAGGTTCTGCACTGAGCATGGAGCCTGCTTGGGATTCTGTCTCCCTTTCCCTCTGACCCTCCCCTGTGCTCTCTCTTTCTCTCTCATAATAAATAAATAAACTTAAAAAATGAGTTCATAGAGGTGAAAAAAAATTAGAAAGATTTACCAGGGTATACAGTGATAAGTCTCCCTGTGATTGTTGGCCCTTGTCACTTAGACTTTCCATCCCTATAGCCCCCATCCCACCTTACCTTGTGATCAGTGCTATCCTTTTCTCATATGCACCATATTTTTCTTAAGATTTATTTATTTTTGAGAGAGAGCACAAGTGGGGAAGGTGCAGAGAGAGAGAGGAGGACAGAAGATCTAAAGTGGGCTCTGCCCTGACAGCAGCAAGCCTAATTGGGGGCTCGAACTCAGGAACCATGAGATCATGATCCAAACAGAAGTTGGATGTTCAATTGACTGAGCCACCCAAGTGCCCCTTATACTCACTATTTTTAATGGTTGCAAAGCATTGCATTATGTAAACATACCACAATTTATTGAACGATTTTCTTATTGTTGAAGCAGTTCTCATTTATTTATTTGATTATTTATTAATTTATTTAACATATTTTCAAAGCTTCCTGTGCTTTAGATCTTAACATCATTGATTATTCCATATTATGGACCAAATGTTTGTGTCCCTCCAAAATTCATATGTTGAAATTCTACTCCCTGAAGTGATGTCATTAGGAAGTGGGGTCTTTGGGACATGATTTCGTCCTAAGGATGATGCTTCATAAGTGGGATTAGTGCCCTTATGAAAAAGACTTCAGAGAGCTCTCTAGCTCTTTCTGCCATGTGAAGGTACAAGAAAACAACAGTCTGCAACCTGGAAAAGGGGTGCCACCAGAACCGGGCCATGCTGGCACCCTGATATTGACCATCCTGTCTCCAGAACAGTGAGAAATACATGTCTGTTGTTTAAATCACCCACTCTCTGGGATTTTGTTAGAGCAGCCTGAATGCACTAAAAATTTCCTTTTTCTATGGAATATTCAATTAGTTTCAACCAGAGCATTTAAAGCATCTTCAATTATCTGATTACTTGAAAACACAAAACAGAAAACCTTCTATCAACTCCACATCCCACTTCATCTACCTCTGTATTACCCTTTGTTCCTTCCACACCTGACCCAACACTTCAATATTCTATTGGAATAGACTACCTTCACCACTCAGATTTATCTACCCACTTTCCATTGAGCTTTTCAGGAAGACAGCTTGCTCTCTGGGAAGTCAACCTTCAGGGATCAATCATAGAAAAGTTAATTCTACTTTTCTACTTTATACTCTTAACTTAGTTTTAAACACCATCTTTATAGTGGTATTTCGAAATATTTATCTTTAGCCCAGGATAGCTATATATGTTCAATTATCTACCTGATATCCCCACCACACTGACTCAAAGGTCTTTCAACTCTTCATGAAATGATCCCTTCCTTTAAACTTGGTTCTATTCTAGGGTATTCTGTTCCATGGAAGGGTACTATAATATATGCAACTGCATAACCCACTTTTCTCTTTCTCATTTCCCATCTCAATAGATCATCAGTTCTTATTGATTTTATCAGCAAAATATTTCTCAATCCATCCTGTACTCTCTACTTACAGACTCATCATGCTAGCTCAAAAGACAACCTCTCAGTTAGACGAACTAGTACTCCTAACTAGCTCTCCTTATCTATTCTACCATGAATCTAACCCATTCTTCATACTTTAAGTACAAAGACTTTTTTCCTTCTGAAGACCGATTTGGGAGTGGTTGCCGGACATGCCTGACGTTTTGTTCTGAGGAGCGGCTAGCAGCGCGATGGAACAGGCCAGGGACCACTTACACCTGAGACGGACTACGGAAGAGCATGTACCAGAGGTGGAAGTCCAAGTCAGACTAAGGAGGACAGCCTCATTGAGCAACCAATAGTGTTAGCTCTACCGAAGGTGACCTCGGCAGCAGCAAGTACCTGTGGTGGATTTCCAGGCAGAACTGAGACAGGCATTCTTAGTGGAGATACCAAGAGGTAGTTAAAGCAGTATTGGATCATCTAGAGTATTTGAATCAGCTAACAATGTGTCAGTTTATTTGATTCAGCTGACAATGTAATAAAAATATTATCCATGAAAAAAAAAGACCGATCTGATCATATTACTCCAACCAACTTAAAATTCTTTAATGCCTTTCCACTGCTATTACGGTAGAGGTGCTACCATGGCTTTCAAAGCCCTGTGTGAACTTTTTCCTCTCTTGTTTCATCTCACAGTGTACTCCTTGTATTCCATAGCTATTAGGGACATAACTGAAAGATAACTTTGTTTATGTTTCTTAAACATTCCATGCATCAGGGGATCTTTGCAAATACCTTTGTCTCCATCCAGAATGTTCCTCACTAGCCTTTCTCCTATGCATAGATATCTCCCATTCATCTTTTTTTTAAGTTGCACTCTTTTTTAAAAAGTTTATTTTACCTTGAGAGAGAGAGAGAGAGAGAGAGCACTAGTGTAAAGGCATTCATGCCTGAACAAGGGATGGGAAGAGAGAGAGAGGGAGAGAAAACCCCAAGCAGTCTCTGATCCTGGGCTTGATCCCACAAACTGTGAGATCATCACCTGAAACAAAATCAAGAGTCAAATGCTCAACTGAATAAGCCACCAAGGTGCCCCTATCTTATTCATCTATTGATTCTTAGCTTAAAAGTCTGTTTCTTGGGAAATCCTTTCTAGATGTTCTCTGTCTATCACAGAATAGTTTTCCTTTCTTTCAGAGCATCTATCTCTATTTGTACTTATATATCCATGATTGTAGTTATTTGAAAGATGTTATTTAAGATATATGGTATAGTGCTTAGATCATGGGAGGTACTCAACACATACTTCTTAATGAATACATGAATATATTTATTTATAAACCTTTGCTTTATTTCAGATTATTTCTTTGGGCTACATTCCCAGAGGTGAAATGAATTGATTAAATGTGCACACACTTTTTTTTTAATGGCTTAAGACAACATTTATTATCTTGGTATCAGGAGTCATAGTGCAACTTAGATGAGTCCTCTGCTTCAGAGCCTCTCCAAAGCTTCAAAGTGTCAGCCAGGGCTGTGGTCATCTGAAAGCTTGACCAGAGAAGCTTCTGCTTCTGAGCTCACTCATGTGGTTGTTGGCAGGATTCAGTTCCTCTGTGGCCAGAGGCTGGCTTCCGTTCTTACCACATGGGCCTCTGGTAGGGCAGAAAGGTGCACAACCATTTTACATGGATTTTAATGGACGGATAATTAGATGTACTCATAAGTGATGAAACATTCTCCCCAAAAGAGTCCATTAATGCATTAAAGATAATCTAGGAAGAGTTTTTTTTTTTTTAATTTTTAATGTTTTATTTATTTCTAGGAGAGAGAGAGAGACAGCGTGAGCAGGGGAGGGTCAGAGAGAGAGGGAGTCACAGACTGAAACAGGCTCCAGGCTCTGAGCTGGCAGTCAGCACAGAGCCCGACGCGGGGCTCGAACCCACGAACCGCGAGATCATGACCTAAGCGAAAGTCGGACGCTTAACCCACTAAGCCACCCAGGCGCCCCTAAGAGTTTTAAGTGGCAGTTGTAATTTTTTTTTCCTTTGGCCCCCTCTTATTTCAGCACTGTTACCTGACTTAAATCTCTATAGAGGGGTGTTTGTCAACTTTGCACCTGACATATATCACAGAAGGATACTAAACAGCTGATTGGTAGATGCAGGATCCAAAAAATCTTTGTGGGTGTAATAGGAGCCTCAGTATTCAAACATGAAATTCAACAGGGCAAGTATAGGATCCTGAACTTTAATTTTAAAATTCTGTCGATGGATACTGAAGGAGAGCGTGTGGTTTAATGAGACGCATGGCTGCTTCTTGTGGCTCAGCTCCAGAGTTCCTTTTTCTGGCTCCTCTGTCCCTTGCCTTCCTTGACTTGCAGGCTGCTTTGTTTTCCTTTAATAACTGCCTCTGTCCATTCCATTCCTTGTGGTTCCCACACTACCCTAGCCTGGCTTCTCTCATGGTCTACTTAGTTGCCTCCTGATTGAGGCTGCCTTGAAGATAAGCACTAGTGCCTTTTGTGTTTTTGTAAATATAATATGTCAGCGCAGAGCCTGCTATAGGGGCTTGAACTCCCAAACCCGTGAGATCATGAACTCAGATGAAACAAAGGGTTGGACGCTTAATCAACTGAACCACCTAGATGCCCTGTAACTTACGTACTTTGAACAAATGTGTATCCCTTCTGTGTTAGGGGAGTAAATGTTTCACATATGCCCTTGATAAGGATTGTGTTTCAATTTTCTGAATCTTGTATCTCCTTACCTATCTCTTTCTTCCAGCTCTATCAGTTTCAGAGAGAAGGGTATTAAAAATCTACCATTGATGGTGGAACTTATTTTTGTTATTCTGTCAAGTGTAGGTTTATTTTTAGTCTCTGTTGTCAGGTATAGATTCAGGACTATTATACACTTCTTGATGACTCTCTTTACCTCTAATAATGTTTTTTGCTCTAAAGGTTATTTTGCTAATATTAATAGTGCTTGTGATGGTTAATTTGGAAGATCTTTTTGGATGAGATTAAAACTTAAATCAGTGACACTGAGTAAAGCAGATTGCCCTTTATAATGTGAGTGGACTTTGTCCAATCTCTTGTAGGTCTGAACAAAACGAAAAGACAGGCAAGAGAGAATTCTTTGGCAGACTGCCTTCACACTTGATCTGCATCATCCTCTCTACTGGGTGTCCAGCTTCCCTGCCCACAATGCAGATTTTGAACTGGACAGCCTCCATAATCACAATGTGCCAACACTTTATAGTAAATCTCTTGCTACATATCTACACATATCCATTGGTTCTGTTTCTCTGGATAACCTGGACCAGAACGTAACAATATCAGTTTTTAAAAACTTACTAAGTGTATCTTTTTTCCCATTTCCTTTTGGAAATGGTGGTCTCCTGCAGATGGTGGTCTTTTAGAAACAGCAAATAGCTGTTTTGTTTTACCATTTCAAACAATCTAAGACCTCTGTTTTGTACCCATTAGGTTGTGTCTGTTCGTATTTTCTGTGACTGTGGCCTTGGATCTTATTTTTGTGTTTTGTTTTTACAATGACTGTTCTTTGTTCTTTGCTTTATTCCTCCATGTTCTCTTCCTGCTTTTTGTCAAATTGATTGTTTTCTTTTTTCAAATGTTAAAATGGGGCCACAGGAAAATCTGGATTCTTATAAATAAAAGCCTCTAGGCTTTAAAAAATTTTTTAACGTTTTTATTTATTTGTGAGAGAGACAGTGTGAGCAGGGGAGGGTCAGAGAGAGGGAGACACAGAATCTGAAACAGGCTCCAGGCTCTGAGCTGGCTGTCAGCACAGAGCCCGACGGGGGGCTGGAACCCATGAACTGTGAGATCATGACCTGAGCCAAAGTTGGCAGCTTAACCAACTGAGCCACCCAGGCACCCCATAAGCCTCTATGCTTTAATAATGGAACTTACGATACAAAATGACCTTTTAAAACTTTTCATTTCATATTCTTGGTGTTGACTTCCACAGGACAAATGAGAAAATCCTCAGTTTTTTAGCTAATAACCTATGAGAAGGTATTTGCTGTTTTTTGTTATCCTTGGTGTGATAAGCTTCCCTTTTCAACATTGTAGCCACTAGGCATATATGGCTATTTAATTTACATTAATTAATTTAACTAATTACATGTATTGTGTGTTTAAAACATTTTTTAAAATGTATATTTATTTTTGAGAGCAAGGGAGACAGAGCACAAGCCAGGGAGGAGCAGAGAGAGAGATACAGAATCCAAAGTAGGCTCCAGGCTTTGAGCTGTCAGCACAGAGCCCATCACAAGGCTCAAATTCACGGACTTCGAGATCACGACCTGAGCCAAAGTCGGACGCTCAACCGACTAAGCCACTCATGGGGCCCCTTGTGTGTGTGTTTTTAAATGCTTATTCACTTATTTTCGAGAAAGAGTGAGAGCATAAGCAGGGGAGGGGCAGAGAGAGAGGGAGACACAGAATCTGAAGCAGGCTCCAGGTTCTGAGCTGTCAGCACAGAGTCTGATGTGGGTCAGAACCCACTAACCATGAGATCATGACCTGAGTCTAAGTCTGATACTTAACCAACTGACCCCTCCAGGCGCCCCATTTAATTAATTACATTTAAATACATATTTAAAATTCAGTTGTTCTAGCCACATTTCATGCACTCAGTACCTCCACTTGGTCAGTGACTACTCTTCTAGACAGTGCAGATTATAGAACATTTCTACCTTTGTAGAAAGTTCTATTGGATAGGAGGTGATAAGCCTATAATAGCACTGTAGTTTCATACACCTTGGAGCAGAACTATTTGAGTGACTGCATCATGTTGCAGAATTTAGACCTGACAATCTATAGCAGCATTCTTCTAGCATCTTCTGCTCCTGTGGTGAATAGTGACCAGCATGGGGAGCATTGCCCACTATGGAGGTTATTGGGGGTTCCTCCCAGTGTATCCAGACTCTGGGTTTGGTGCCCACAGGACATTGGAAGTCATTTATATGGAGTAACAGCTTAGAGAGTAATGGTGATAACAGGGACTGAGATGTTAACTTCTGTACAGTAGTGGTCTTGATCTTTTGAATGGTGTGGGGAGGCCAAGAAAGGCTGAAGCATTTCCAGTTGAAACCAGGTTGCAAAGGGCATGGGCATGGACCAGACTGGGCTGTTGGTACTCCTTTGAAGCTTTGGCCTCCCAATCTTGTTGTTAGATTGGTTTGGTCTCATCTGAACCAGCTAGTTAGGAGGTCGGCCCTGAACCTGCTGCACTGCTGGCAAAAGTGACCAACAACTGCAGGTTGGGACTCATTTAGGAGGGCATTGGCAGAGAACACCATGCCAGCCACCATCTGTCCCTGCATATCCTGGATGGGCAGGGGAGATACTTTCTTTCTCTAGCTCGGCCAACATGTATCATTAACACCTATGTGCCCATTCATTGCAGAAACAGCTTTGCTTTCGAAGAAGGAGAAGTTGAGAAAGTCCAAGCTCTTTGCTTCTTTATTACTTCAGCATCTGAGAAAAGAAAATTCCCCCCTTAACTTTTCATTGT